TAAAATTCATTCTTCGATTTTAGAGAACACGAACTCATCCCAGATATCATTCAGGTTGGGAGTTTTTAGTTTCCTGTATCACCTCGGGTGCCTTGAAATAGTAAGTAGTTATCATTATGTAGAATTTGATGGTCTACAGAGACTTTACGTGAATGGTTTCACTCATCCTCGTCTCTGAGGTGGTTGGAAATACAAAATGTGAGCAGAAAATCAGTGAATGTTTAATTTTAAGATTGCAGTAAAAGACACATTGCCACGCACCTCCCTCCAATTACCCCCCTTCACTCTGAACACTTATCCCATTGTTCCTGCCACGTTCTGAAGCAGTTCTGGAAGTCCTCTTTCGTGAGTGTTTCTAGTTGTGCTGTTGTAGCTGCCTCAGTGTCCCGAACTGATTCGATTTTCTTTTACCTTTCACTGTCATTGTGACTTTGGGAAGTTGCGTGGGGCCAGATCTGGTGGCTAACATGGGTCAGAGCACACCATAATACTTTTACGAGCCTTGCTGTTGGGTGGCCCTCAGATAGCGGCATTTATCATATTTTTTTATCACACCTCATAAAGACACAAAAGAGAACTTCAGAGCTGCTTGAGAACGTGGCAAGAATGATGGGACACATTTGTTAGAAATGAGGGGAGCATTATGAGGGGGACTGACGGCAGTGTGTCTTTTACTGTAAATAAAACCTTAAACACCGTACATTTTGGTCGCTCATTGTGAAGGCAGGATTGGCAGTTGTTTGCTACATGCAGTGAGTTTGGGGATCACTTCAAATATTTATTGGCTGTCTCTGGATTATAAGAGGTCCTTAGGCATTGCCAAGTGTGTGGAGGAAAATGCCAACTCAGTTGCTTTTATTCGGACTTCAGAGTATTTTATGATTTCAGTGTCCTTGATGTTACTTTAAGAATGATTCGTGATGAGGCTATTGCACTGTTCAGGGGGTGTGATACTTAGCTTACATTCCATGTGTGGGTCACCGCTAAGAGTTCATGTCCAGAACAGGGTGGGGCAGGCAGTGACATTGCAGTTCAAGTTGCATTTTAAAAATCTCTGACATCATTGCTGCCATGCTAGTGCGAGCATTTCTGAGGCAGAGGTCACAAAATGAGGCAAGTAGTCAGGATCGAGAAAGTGTCGCTAAACGGTTGTGGTACCGTTCTCCTTTGGGATAGGAATTAGCTCAGAATCCTCAAGTTTGCATTTTCAACAGCAACTGCCAGTCACGCTGGTAGATAATACCTTTTGCTTTGCTTTCTCTGACAAATGAGTAGCTTGATCCTTGTACCCATTTTCTCTTTGTCTTAAAATTAAAAAGAGCTGGAGATGTAGCTACATGGTAGAGCACTTGCCTAGTGTGTGCAAGACCCTTGGTTCAATCCCCAGCACTGCAAAAAAAGGAGTAATGAAAAAAAATTATTATATGGTAAGTGCTGGGGATATAGCTCAGTGGCGGAGTGCTAGCATAGCATGCGCAGGGCCTTGGGTTCAATCTTGAGTACCACTACCACCAAAAAAGAAAAAAAAAGTGCTTCTCAAACTTTTAAGGTATACATAGATCACCTGTATCTTATAAAAATGGAAATGCCAATTTACTAGATCTGGGGTGGTGCTACAACTGGGGTAATTCTGCATTTTTAGCACCACTGTGATGGTGCCCCTGCTACTGGCTTGTGGACCACACTTTTGATTACCAAGGTTCAGTACTAAACCATCCACTAGAAAAGCTAGAAAGAAGCTAGAAAATTATGTACAGTGCCACTCAATAACCAAAGACCACGAACAAAAACCAGGCAAATATTCCATTAGAAGCTGAAGTTTTATTATAGGATAACAGTACATAAAGCACATCTAAAATTGATGTGTTCGATGCACTTTTAATAAAGGTAATGTAATATTAAAGGTACAGTTTCTAAGTACAATATAACAACATTCATATTAGAATGAAAATTGGAGTATTTAAAAGACAACATTAAATCTCTCTTTTTTACAGCTTGTATTTACAAAATGAATCAAAATATTTTTTTTTTTAAATTCAGGACTCAATAAAATAAACAGCTGGAAATAAGCAGACTACTATAAAGAGTGAATTGAAAAGAAAACCCAATGTAAGTGAGAAGTTGGACGATCCTCTAATAAAGATCATTAGCAAAGTTTTAGTTCAATATACTATGTTTTAGGAGTCTTGTAAATGGCTTGCGTTTTTAGTGTGGCAGAAAAGGAATTTTTACATACTGTACACAAAACAGACAGCATATATTTATAGGTACAGTATTACTGTTTCCAAACTTGCATGTATATTTACAGAAGGCCGAGTCTGTCACTCACAGAGTTTTGTGAAATTTGTGTGCTCAATGCTCAAGACCTACACACAATCAGAATGAGCATTTCCTGTGGTCTTTCAAAACGTAGTTTTTATTCTTGGTCGTAGAAGAAAATGTTAACCATAAGGCTTGACATACTTTATAAATTTGCCAAAACAACCCAGGAAGAAATGTTTTCATTGGGGTCACTTGTAATTGAATAATTATCAGTTGCGGACATGGGCCGGTGGTTAGGGAAGCACAAGGCACTCTCTACCCTAGGGGAGCTAAGGATGCCGAATGGTGCTTTAAGAAGTTTCAATCTCTTTCCAAGCCAGACGGATAAGGAATGACATGATTTGTGTCCAGCAATTTCTCCCTACACCGTAGCCAATTCCCTCTAAAGGGTTAACTATTAGCATTACCTTTCAACCACACAATTGCATTTATAATTAAGGTCACTGGAACTCTTCCATAAAAATGGAAATTGTCTAGAATGGGGGATAAATATGCAGTGCACGGGAGCCACTAATCATGGCTTCAGAATTTACCGCTTTCAGTTACAAAAGGTGCAGTAAACAGAAACATTTGCTCTATATTTATAAATTGCTCAAAAATCTTTGCTAAAGATCTTACAAATTCAGTAATATTACAGAACAATTCTAATCAATATTTAATAAGGCTAACTACATCCTTAGTTAGATATTTGATATACTCTGATGTTTAACAATGCCAATAGAATTTGGGAGAATAAATGAAAGTTTAATTAAACTCGTTATTGAATGACTTTAAAAATGAAGCTGTTTCACTCAGTTCATAGAACTGGCTGAGGTAATGTTAAAATAGACTATCCCGTGTTGAATTTTTTTGAACCAGGAATCGAACTCAGGACCTCGTGCTTGCCAGGCAGGCGCTTGTGCCACTGAGTTACATCCCTGGCCCTTTCATTGTTGAATTTGCGGTATGGCCCATCTTCTACCAATGGATGTCTCCGTATTTCTCCTGACTCCTGAGGGGGGAGGTCTAGTTTGCTATCAAACCACCATGAAAATTTTATATAATTGCTTATTATCTGGGATAGGAGTTAAGTATACAGATCTGTCAGGTACCAATGATATAATTCCTTAGTGAGAGAAAAATCTATTACTCCATTAAACAAGAACATTTCTTTGGGATCTTGAAGGTCTGGCCAATTATTTTTTAGATCAGGAGATGTTGTGCAAAGCCAAATAGTAGCCAACATAAATTTTCATATGTCCATATTTATAAACACCCTACAGATGTCAAATATCCATACTAAGGAAGTAATTTTATCCTAATTAAATACACTCTAGAATAATTTATATAATGACTATGTATTTAAAGAGAAAAGCTAGTCCCAAATCCAGCACTCTGATACAGCTGCTAGTTGGGCACAGATAGAGATATATATATATATATATATATGTATATATACAAATATATAGTTATACTCAGTGAAATTAACAAGACCCAAAGGTGGTATTGTTTAGGAATAAAAGGGATCATTTTCACAAAAGTAACTTATCTAGCACCACACATCAGAAAAACACAAAAATAGCACACTCTAGTTCTAAACAGCTATGTCTAAAATAGATTATATAGTAAAACCGGTATTATACAGCATATTGTGGATTTGATCAACAGATAAATATTTGCACTGAGTAGGCTGTTTATAATATAACATTTTCTTATCTATACAGAATGAAAGCCAAAAAGTTAACTGTATAGAGATGTGCAGAACAACGTTAAATAGTATGACTCAACAGCAGGGACGAAGGGAAATTTGAAAGAAGAGTAAGAGAGAAAATGTTCACAGGCCATTACAAGTTCTTAAGTTAACAGTAAATAAGGAATCAGTTGCTCAAGTTGAAGAAAGCAGTAAACAAGAGATTGCATCTACATGCAGATGTCTAAAATTTGTATTTTTTTTAAGTCTATGCACAAAAGTCATTTGTTTTATTGCTTGACATTCAGTTATGGCTAGATTATTTAACCTATTTTTTTTTTTTTTTTTGTACTTTGGAAACAAGAATATTGTTAAAGGTGCCATAAAAATGGACAATATTGAAAACGGTTTGCAAATAAACCACCTAACACTGCAGTTCTTTATACATATTAAAAGCCTTGTCTGGGGTTTGTCGTATGTTAAATATATTTAAACTGGGAAAATATGTTGTAGCTTGAAGCCTCCCATTGGCCGAAACATCCAATACAAAACACATCTCCACAAAAGGAGCAACAGACAACACAGAACACTTACAGAAGCAGCCAGCTAATGTCCTAACGGTTAAGCGTTTACCACTGTTGTAGATGAGATTTCAAACCATGGTGGGTAAGAAGAGAATTTTGGGTTCGGGATAATGTGTACAGTACATACGGATTTTGTGTGAAGTCATATTCACTATATTGCTCAAGAGTGATCTGCATTTACATATGCTATCTGTTCGGTGATAATCAAGTTCCTAGAAAGAGTACTCGTCCACATTAGAGCAACGGTGAGCGAGAAGGAATCGAGCACGAACATGGGAGAGAGTTCTGTCGTTCTTAGAGAAGAGCGGGATGGCATGTGAAGGCCTTGAGAGCTAATGGCAAACTCTCATTTGTTAGCTCCCAGAGGGGGTCAAAGACAGAAGTGTGGTACTGCTCACGTGGCAAAGCACACAAAATGTAAACAGCAGACACGGTTCTCTACGCATCTATTTTAAAACATTCAGATCCACTTTCTCCTCACGAGACTCCATGCTGTGTTGCATCACAGAAGAAAGGTGGGATCTATTTGGGTTGAATATTCTGTCATTCATCGAGGGGGAAATAAATGACCGAATGTATTTATTGCTCTAGGTTCTGAGGGTGTGGGTGAACATGGAGATGCCCTGGCTCTAACCTGGCTCCATGGTGTGACGCCAGGCTTCTGGACTACTTTCAGAATTATTTTGAGAGCCTGACAGAACCGATCACACAGACACAGACAAGGAAACAGACCCGGAAGTGAGACCAGTTACTTCTGGAGACATTGCTAGTCAACCTTCTCATCTCTTAAAAATGAACAGCAATGGGAAGGCCTCTTTAACCACCTCTGGTGGAACCTTTTCATATACTGGTGTTTAGGGACAAAATGAAGACCTGTATTATATACCATGAGCAACACATCAAGGTTTACTGTTGTAATTGCATTTTGGGGGCACATAACTTGAGCTGTAGTAAGTTGCTTTCAGGGGGTTCTGTATCATAACTTTATTAGAAGTGGCACTCACATGCTACACTATGTAAAAATGTCAACCACCTCTGTGTGTCTGTGTGTGTGTGTGTGAGAGAGAGAGAGGGAGAGAGAGAGAGAGAGAGAGAGAGACTATAAACGGAGGGAAGCAATGAGAGAAGGGGAGGGAGATTCCTGACATTTTTCATATGCTTTGTTAACAAAACAGGTGAAAGTATTTGTCAGGTGATAGGCATGGAAAGTCTTCCCAAATTATGCTTCACAACAGTAATAAGAAAATAGGTAAATATAGTGGATGTAGCCTATCCCAGGGGTGGGAGAATCAGAACCCACAATCAGATTGAGTTCCTCTGACTTTATGTAAAGTAACACATGAGACTATGTAAACAAAGGTTATTTAGAAATTGTGATATACAGTATAACCCTAAGAGCTGGATCAAGCAGCTATCATACAAATGGAGTTTGATTTGTCTTTAAACAGTAGCTCCTGCATCAGTTCATCAGGAATCTATAAACTGCGAATGTGTCAGAAAGAACTGTTTTAGATAAAGGGATTTTTGCTTCACTTCTGGAGCAGAACATGGTGAAAAACATAGTGAGCTGCTGGTATTTAAAACAAAAATGTGGTGTATCTTTATCCATTTCACTGTAGTGATAGGCAGGTCTTATCACTGGTTTTCACATTTTTTTTTATCTGTAATATACAGAGTTTGAAATAGTTTAAAACATTTCTTTTAAAATATTTTAATTACTAGGGAAATGGTAAGTAGGATATGTAAGGGCTACAACTTGGATGCTCTGCGCTGGTGCATTTATATTTTGAGTAACTTCGCACTCCTTTGCCAGTTACTCCGTGTTCTCACATACACAAAACCGAAGAGCACGTCACTTTTGAACTCAACAAAATGAGACAATAGTGAGGAGATAACACACACACATACACACGCATACACGCATGTGCGCACGCAGTTCTACACAGTTCATTTGTGCCTTGGAGGGATAATATTATCATTGTTAATAATAATACACAACACAATTTGTCCCAGTAGTACTGGCCACCCTGTTTGAAGAGTTTTAGAAGATCCCTGAGCACATTTTTTCTGACTCTTAACCCCAACTCCAAAAAGATCGGGCTTCTATCCTTGATATCAAGATGGATTGTCATTCACAGTAAGTCAATCATAAGGTGCTTATTTACCCTTTTTTTTCACCAATCAGCACAGAGGACTGTCAGAAAATAACTTTTATTATTATTATCTTAAAATAATAGCACTGGAAGGACACATGTTTTAAACAATCAATGTTTGCAACAGTGGCTTTAGGATTATTATCTGGCTGCCCCTTGACAATAACAAGTGATTCGATCGACATTCCTTAGCCAAAAATAAAAGGAAAAAACCAAACCAAACCAAAACAAAAAAAAAAACGCAAACACTGTACAAATATGTATTTTTCCCTGAGGGTTCAAGGTACACCCGCAAGTGCTCTATGTACATATTGCACTGGAGAGGAATGAAGGACGTGTGCAAAAGAGCAACAGTGACAAGCTGACACACCGCTCAGACCTTTGCATTGAGGACTTGCTACGTCGCTTTGCATTTTGGAATGTCGGAACACAAACAGCCATTCCTTCGTCTAAAACGAAAAACACGAATCCCTACTATGGCACATTCAACGAAATAAAAAGTTCTCCAAAGACAGATAGACAAATTCCATCAAGAAAATAATACAAAGTTTGTTTGTTTGTATTTTTTTTTTTAGAAAATTACATTACTTTCTTTCTTTGTTTCACATTACAAAATCTTTTTTTTTTCTTTACACAAATCACATTTTATTGCAGGAATATTTCAAGTGCCATCAAATATTTATAGAAGGGTTAAAAAAATAGAAGTCTCTCTAAAGTGGTCCAGACAAGGCTTTGTATAGAATAAATGTTTTTTTTTTCCATCTTCTAGTTTTGATTTAAGTATTTTGAATACATTTTCTTTTCCATTGACACTTAGTAGCCTAGAAGCGGTCTGACACATGCACATCACACACACGCAAATCTTACACACACATACACAGGCACGCACACACGCGCGCACACACGCACGCCTTCCTCGCCTGACCCTCTCCGCCCACTCCCATATGCTCACAGAGATCTGGGTATCCACACGATAAAGAACAACCAAACTTAGAAGCAGTGTCTTAGGTCACGTTTTCCTTACATTAGGAAGGGTGAATCAGGATGCTGAAGACTTTTAAAAAACTCATAGCTTTAACACAAATTAGGATGCTGAACACTTTAAAAAAAATCCGTAACTTTAACACAGTTTGCGAACTGTCCAAAAAGCACTTTCATCTGCACTTTTGATTTCACTGTGACCATGGCCGGTTTTTTCACAACATGGGGCGCCGTTGTGTAACAAGGGCACAATGCTTTGTAAAAGCCTTATTTACCTTATTTTACAAATTACATAAAAACCTTAGAGGAGCCAAGTGAGCAGTGATGTGGTTCCAATCCTTAAAAGACTGTTAGACATTTAAGTTCAGGAGATTTTGATTATATGAGCTATCCAGATTGTTGTTCTGGTATCGCCTAGTTTTTATGTGTCATCTCACAGGTTGTTTTTTTTTTTTTTTTTTTTTTATGAAAAGGAAGAAAATAAAAATACAAAGGTTTTCACATCCTTTTCGAGACTCAGTATTTCTCTCAACTGCATTTACTGTTCAGCTTCAGATCCCAACTTAGATCTGCATAGGAGTTGTTCCCTCGGCTCCTCCAACCACACCTCTGTCTCTACTGCCCTGTTCCTACACTGTCAGGGGACCTTACTCTGAAAGCTCACCTGCTTTTCTTTCAGAAACACCTAGAAGCAGCATCGTGTTACTCTGTCTTGGTTTAGTATAAAAGCAATGTCACAACTATTAATGAGATTAGAAGATCATTTTTGTTTTGTTTTGCATTACACACATGCAAAATCCTTTCTGGGAAAGGGAATTCCTTTTTAAGTTCAACATTACTTTCTCTCTCACCCTTAAGAGAAGTTCGGTTAGCTCTTCTTATTCACAAATGGACACTGGAATTAGGTTTAGTTGCTCTTTAATGCGCTAGCACCTGAGGCTGGTCATATTCAGAAAGCTTTGGTTAAAAAGAAGTTATTATACTTTAATAAAACCATCCCCAAATTTAGTGAGTCTGAGTGACAAAAACCAAAATGCCCCCCCCGCCCCCTAAGAGACCTCACACCATTTCCCCTCCAAGAAGAAACAACAGAAAAAATAATGGACAAATAAATAACTGTACGAAGCTTGGTACTCTTTTCAGAGTATAAATACTATTAATCTTTAAAGGAACTATGCTTATTTAAATAAAAGCTTGATTTAACCCTTCTTGCCCAAATATAAATACTATATGCTGACAGTTAACCTCTCTATATAAACACTCACATAAAATTTTATATGCCTGTAAGAAATTTAAGTAAATATTACTCTCATCTTCTATTTATGGTTAAACCCTTACAATATCTTTAAAAAAAAATGTGGATGTCATTTAGGCTTCATACACATTTCTGTGTAAATAATTCCTTCTGCTTCTCCCAAGTGCCTCAGGAAACAAGTCAGGGAACCAGTGGGGTGCCAAGCGGATAAAGTGCTCTGAGAAACCGGTCCCAGGCTCCAGCCTGAGACTGGGGGGCACAGTTCCTGCAGAAGGTTGTGCAGGAGCCCTATCGACTGGGGAGGCCTCTGAATGTACGGGCTTCTCAGAAATGCCCACCTTCACACCGTGGTACCTGCTCTCTCTTCTTTTTTTTTTTTTTGGTTTTTCTCCGGTACCAGGAACCGAACTCACGACCTTGCACTTGCCAGGCAGGCGCTTTTGCCGCTGAGCTAAATCCCCAGCCCCTGCTCTCTCTTCTTTACAAACGTGGTCTTTGATGTCAGACCACCAGTTTAAATCCCACTCTGGGCAAGAACAACATCTTCTAAATGCCTACTTTCCCAAAGGTCACTTGTTTTCAAAATATACACCCCTGGACATCAGACTGGTCCTCTGCCGTTCCCCACTGGGGGAGGGTTCAAGAACAGGAAATTAAACAAAAATACCTCAATAGCTCTCACCTGAACACAAAAGCCAAACAATCTTCTAAACATTTAATAAAATAAATTACAATCCACAGTTTTCTAGTGAAGATAAACACAGGAGTAAATGTTTGCAGCTAGCATCGACTTTAGTTTAAAGGCTTAAAATATTTAATATTAAATAAGAGAAACCGGTTCGTTACTGTATAACCCCCTCACCGTCCTATCCACCATCTACCAAATGCGGAGAGCAATGTTCTAGAATAGTGGCGCGTGGGGACTAGTCCAGAGTCGGATCCCTCTGAGATAAATGCTAAGGATTCCTAGGTTATACCAAGAGCATACACATTCAGAGAATGTGTCATGTTCTCACCAGGGGAGTGTGTGCTTGCTCCAGATAGAATCTTTGGGTCCTACTTACAATAAAAGCTAGATTCCAATAAATACTCTGGTTACTGATTTATTTCCAAGTGCAGGCAGAATCCACATGACTACTGAATTGTGGAAAAGTCAGTCTCTCTCCTTCCCTGCCCCCCACAAAGGTGGCCTTTCAGAAAGCTTCTTTTGAAATTTAAAAAAAAACGTGCATGAGGGTTTAAGTCCACCGTACCAATCCTTCAGCTTTGTATGAAGCGTAAACACATCTATCCTTAAACTTGTCAAAAAGCAAGATACAATTTAGGGAGAGTTCTGTTCCGAATGTCAAATTCACGGGTGGAAAAGAAAAATCCAGCATGTTGATTTCTAGATATGACCAGCCAGTCTTTCACGAGTGATTTTGTAAACAGCAGCATAAACACCTCCCGACGTACCTTCCGAGCCTTCTCAGTCAAACTTGTGTTTCTGGTGCGCATGCGACACAGCAGTGAACACGCTAGCATTTAATTTAAAGAAAAAGGTGCAAAATGAAAGTGCCTTATCAATTCAACAGGAAAAGCTACACCAGTAACTACATTTTATATTAATTAAAACAATATATAAACAATATCTCTTTTAGCTATATATAGTCTTCATGCCCATTTACCCTGTAATATATTATAATGCTATTGTTGCTAGTGCTATGGACCCTTTTCGTGCCATCCCGCTGACTGGCAGTAACCTGTGAGAAAATAAAAACTTCCTTCATGAGACAAAGAGCAAGTTGAGCAAAGTAATGCTGCAAGCTCCACCACGCACACCCGTCACCGATCACTGCCGGGGGCTCTCTGTTGGGAGTGACAGCCTGGTGACCCTGTGGAAAGTCTGTGGGCAGTGAGCTACAAGAACAGGAAATCCTCCACCTTTAGTACCCTCCTTCTTGTAAACAGGTCAGCACTCAGGAAGTTGAGACAGAGAAAGGGTCCATATCTGTAGGCATAATGGAAATCATATGCGTGAGAAAAACAAGTTCAACTTTTATTTGTTTTCTTTGTTTCCCCTCCTTTGCCTGACCCCGATCACCAAAAGATGTGCAGTGTGTTGGCGCTCCAGGGCTGTGCAGGGCCACAGAAAGTGTCTTGGTTAATTTTTTGTTTTGTTTCCTTTTTCTCATGTTTGTACTTCAGACATTCTAGAAGTGCTCGGGTGATACCTTTACCCATCAATCTGCATCGCTGGCTCAAACTCTGAAGTGAACAACTCCTTGTACAACGGAGGAAAGTGAAGTCGCACAATGTCTGGGTATATTGCTTTAAATGCCATTAGCTTTTCTGTGTGTCGTCCACATAAGGCTCTTAACGTAGACACCTTGCATATTAACTGTAAGTGGAGAAAGGACAGTGAGGTCAGGAGGGAACAGACGGGAGGGTCAAGGAGTCTACTTGATCTTTACGACGCTTTACAACGGGCGAAGTACACTCGAAGCAACTTAACCTTGCAGGAAGAGGCCCGGTAGAATTAAATGGTGATCTAGTCACATCGCAGAGTGCCAGGAATACACTGAACATTAGTTTAAAGATGAATAATTTAACCCAAAATGACAGCGGGAAACAGAAGCTGGCCCTGCTTGGCAGTGGCGGGGTCCAGATGAAAGCTCAAGGCTCTCTCTCACCATCTGCTCCACGGTGATCCTGAATCCCGCCCCCCCACCACCGGGGGGGGGAAGTGTTCTGGTGACCAAGGCGGGGGGCTCCTGGAAGTCCCAGGTGATAGGGGACTGCAGCCGCGGACCAAGGCATCCCCCGCACATCCGATGCAGGACTAGTTCCAGTCAGTCCTAAGGGCAGCCAGCGACTGCCTTCTAGATAAGGAACTTCTCTTGTAACAAAGCCATTCTGGGACTGAGAAAAGATGGTCAGACCACTGAGATCGGTCTGCCCTCTGAAGCAAAGGCCCCAGAGCTCAGACCCCTCCTACCAGCTGGTCCAACAGGAATGAGGGGGCCCGGGGCATACTCTGCCTTCTCCCTCTGGCCAGACAGTCATCTCCAAGGAGAAGCCCCATGTAATCATGACTACAGAGGAATAAGTAAACAGCCTCTGGCTGGACACTGGTGCTAGTCTCAGTCCTTCTTTTCAATCCTGGCCTTCCTTCCAGCCATCATACCTCAGTGAAAGGAGTCACTGGTAAGAAGGTAATCCGCTATTTTTTCACAACCCTTAGGCTGTAACTACTTGTTAGATCTTTCTTGCATATCTCTGTCTTCCTGAGAAACCACTCTGAAGATACCCCCATGTATTACAGCAGCCACTGATAATTTCCTACCAATCTGTCCATAACTCTGTAATGTTTGTATTGTTCCTATGCTATTTCATAAATGGACGTATGTTTATTACTATGTGTTTCCTACAATAACCATTGAGAATAGTCAATGATTATTCAATTGATCACTCATGTATAGCTCTATATGTTTTCTCTAGAAACCACTTTGAAGAAACCAAAGTATAGTACAGCAACCATTGATAATTTCCTATCACTTTTGTCTGCAACTCACTATTATTTGTCTATTTGTTTTCCTAAGAAACTATCTTGAAAATATCAATAGGTAAAATAACAACCATTGGTAATTTCCTACCACTTTGTCTGTAATTCGGTAAATCCCCCTATTACTATGCTATCCTTCTTTTACTCTTTAAAATTAAAAAAAGAAAGAAAAGATGTTCAGAAGGCCTGGGTAGAAGTCACCGCACAGCCCATTTACCAGCCGAGGGTAACAGGATGATTTGCAGAGGATGATTTGCTAAAGTGCTCTTCAACTGTAAAGAACTGTACAAAGTATGCTTATGGCTTCAGCCTACAACGGTCCTCTCTAGGAAAAGTGTTTTGTTTTTTCACTGCATCCTCTGAGGTGCTCTCCAAAATAATTTTACAGGGGTCTTGCTTTTGGGCAAGAAGATGGGTGAAGTTCCAGAGGGGTCCTCCCTCCCATTTCCCATCCCTGTACCACCCACTCACTCATTCAACGGGTGCAAAATCAAAAAGAAAAGCGCAGCTGAGCACCAGTTTCCCCTTTTTGACCTAACAGGAGAAAAAGAAACAGGACCACACAACCCAATACTATTCCCATCACCCTCTCATGGAGTAAAACACACAAAATAAAGATAAAGAATAGGGCTTTTTTTTTTTTTTCCAACCAAATCTGATGAGCACTAACATTGAGGGAGATTAGCATATTTGAAATTGGCATCCTTACTGTATTGCAAAAGATAACTGGCAAAAATGAAAGCTTCATGCTCTGAGCACGGGACAGCAATAAGAAATTGATAAAGAAAACATGAAAGTTATTTACAGTTGACAAACGAATTTAATGGAAAGAGGATTACTATTAGAATACTTGATTACCCTCGCTGTTTTAGTCCTTTATAACTTCTCTCTTCTAAATTCAACGATCCTTTTTCTAAAGTATAACAATGCAGAGTCTTAACTCTGCTTTTATGGGCAACTTTGATGGAGTAGGAGGAGGATTTCCTGAATGTATGAAAGCTTTAAGAAAAACCCCTTTTTACCTACCATCGCCCTGTTCATGCAGGGTGCTGTGTGATCAATGATAGTAAACAGAAGTTAATCTCAGTAATGGGTTTTGGCCTAAGAGAATGTTTCGAAATGGAGATTTCCACCTTTGTAGAAGCCTGTGGCATACTGATACTTTTGGGGGTTACGACTTCACGATAATTCAGGCCAGGCTGACTGCAGTCCTTCAGCTCTTACCTTCGTTAGTATTCCGTCTTCTCGGTGGTTCTTCTGTAGGACGTGTTGAAGAGCGAGCTGGATTTTCTGTTGCAGTTTCTCAATTTTTACCTTTTCCTGCAGCCACGAGCGATCTGAACATGAAAAATGACACTCTTTAGGAACACCAGTCTCACTCCCTGAATGCTGTGTGGGGCCACACACTCCTCTGGGCTCCTAGGTCCGGATAATTATGCTGCCCTGCGTACTCACAGGCTCACAGTTGCCCTTGTCTTCCAAATTTCACTTAACAATTTCAGACCTCCACTGGAGTGCAAAAGTGATCCACGGTAGTTGCAAATCACAGTTTTTAAGCCTTCCCGTTTTCACTAATACTACTTAAAAGAAGAAGTCAGGATCGGCCCTTTCCGAAGGATAGCCATTCGAATTTAAGGCCATACTCACACAAGAGCAAATGAAACCACCATGTCCCCTCAAGCCTTTCCAGTAATTATATTTCTAGATGAACTACTTATATCAATCCTGCCAGCCTTTTCAGAAAATATGAGGATTGCCTCATAATCCCGGGAAGCTAAAATTGTCAGTAGAACTCCAAATGACTTAAGGGGGGTTAATTCAGAATAAAGTCTTTGTGTGTGAGAATTCCAAATAGAAGACAGTGAACTTGCAACAGCGATTATCCCCGAGAAGCAGCGCTGCTTGAGAACCTGTGGACAGCAGCAGGTGGATTTACGAAAAGGGAGGAGTTCTTTAAAAAGACAGGTTCTCCCGGAGACTGTGCTAAGGAGGACAGGACTGCTCTAGCATTTCTCTTGGTATCTGGAGGTGAGTTCTAGACTGTGTTTTACTGAATTCTTATTTCTTAAGATTTTATCTGAAAGGCACGTGGTCTTTTAAAAACAGTTTATATGTGTGGGTGGGGTGTTCTTTGGAAAACTTTGGATTTTGCAAAAAATGGCAGCTGCTTTTTTTTTTTTTTTTTTTGGCTTTTTGAGACAGGGTCTCGCTATGTAGCTCAGACTGACCTTGAGCTCACTTTGTAGCCCAGGCTGGACTCGAACTTGCAGTGATCCTCCTGCCTCAGCCTCCCGAGTGCTGGGATTACAGGCATGAGCCACCATGCTTGGCGGCAGCTGCTTTTGAGAACTCCTCAAATGTTCTTTTTTTTTGTTTTTTTTTGAGACAGGGTCTCACCATGCAGTTCAGGCTGGCCTTGAGCTCACTTTGTAGCCCAGGCTGGTCTCGAACTTGCAGTGATCCTCCTGCCTCAGCCTCCCGAGTGCTGGGATTACATGTGTGCACCACCATGCCCGGCCCCCTGAAATATTCTAAACCAATAAAAGTTATGCACCTCCTAAAAATTCTTTACCTGGAAGAAATTTAAACTATTTAATTTTTATTCTATTTTTTGATTCTCTTACCTGCTGACATCAGTACAAATGCAGAAAATAATGCAATTTCATCTTCAGTCAGGTGCATAGAACATAAGCTCTTTCCAAATTCAAACACAAAGCTAATAAAGTCTTCACAACCTGTGGAAAATTAAAATAAAGACAGTTCGGGATTTTGTTTACTAACCTAGTAGAAAAGTACGGAAGAAGGCAATAAAAGATCCAGTAACTGAGGATCAGAAGGGATAGGAATTCTACAGGTGAACAGTTTGGCATCGTAAAAGGAAAGCTGGTGTAGTCAGTATCGCCACCGGTACCAGCATCAGCAGCCACCACCGCCGTCCTTCACCACTCCCGCCACCAGTGCACCCTCACCCGTGGGCTAAATGGATGTTGTGTGGTTACCAGATCATGCCCGTTCTAAGAGGTTTCTGTGGATTTCTTCATATTTTGAAACAGCGCTTTGAGGGGTACAGTATTACTATTAGCACCCCATTTTACAGAGGAAACCGAGACCTGTAGCAATGAGTAATGGCTCTGCGGTCACACAGGTAGGAAGCACAGCCCGAGACCCACAGCCGGGCGGACTGCCTCGGAAGCCTACCTGTTGAGGGACTGCTGGCAACAATCCAATCAAAATGTTACGCTCACTCATTTTTGTTCTACCGTAAAGCGGTAACAAATGCCGCAGCCTGGTGGGGAAACTAGTACGGTGTTTACCGAATGGCAACCGTGAAACCTGAAAAGTCCCCTAAAACAGGGATCCGGTCCCCACAAGACAGGTGAAGCGGATGGCTCCTCCCTCAGTCTGGCCTCTTCTTATGTGCTGGCATTTTATTTTTATTTTATGTTTCTTTTGGTACTGGGAATCGAACTCACGACCTTGTGCTTGCTAGGCAGGTGCTGTGCCGCTGAGCTATATCCCCGGCCCAAGCGCTACTTTATTTCCTGAATGTTTGCACTTCCTTCTCATTAAATGTTGCTTTGAGGGGTCGGGCACAGCAGACTTTATGTTCCTTACTTGCTTTTATATACCCAGTCATAGCTCCTAAGTTACCGAATATTATATTCCCTTCAAATGTGGTTTCTTAAAATCTGGGAGGAGAAACGGGAGGACACAGAATATAAACTGCTTCAATTACCTATGGGATAAAATGAGACTCTAGATCTTTGCATGGAATACAGACAAAAAGCGCTTGAGAGATGTGACTTTTCTAGGGTGACTATAGTAGAGTAAGTATGACATCTTAGTTTTGGTCTCCAAATAACCAGCTCTCACTTTATTTATTCAATCAGAACCCCCCTGTAGCCCACAGTTTCCCCATAGCCCAGGCTGGAAACCAAGGAAGGCAGCTTGCGATGTCCTTACCTAAGGACTTGAAGACCTCGGGGCTGGCATACTTCCCGTCAAAGTATACGGTGTTGTTCTGGGAGTCAAAGGCACGGCACATTCTGATGAACACCACCTCCAGCGAACCTGAGCAGACACAGCATTGGTTTGGGTCACGTGATCTAGGGGAGGCGCTTTCTGATACAGCGCGTGGGCGTCAGTGCGGAGGAGCTCAGGGTCCCTGGGTCACTGTCTGCCTCTGTGCATGAGGGCAGAGCTTCCCGCAGGACGCAAAGCCCCTCACGCTAAAGCTAAGCCCTGTCTGACGAAGATGAAGATTGATTTACAAATTACTTCTTGGGTCCTCCTCCTCTTGCACAGCGGAGTCTCAGAGTTGTGAGGAGTGTTTGACCATATTTCTGGAGACAATCACAACCACAACCACTCCCTCAGGGCCACCAGCCCCTTGCTAACGACTCAGGACTAGGACCTGAGGTGGCGGTAAAATTTGGGAATGGAGGCACCCTTCAACTTAACTTAAAAGAAGCAGTACGGAGGGAATGTTTCCTGCACATGGCTTCAAAAACCTTTCGGGAGCACTCAGTCCCTGCTGAGGAAAACCTGAGCTATTATCGCAGGAGAGAAAACGGCTCTCGACACCTTCCTGACCCAAGCACTTCTTTAACAAGCAGGCGAAAGCAGGTTAGGAGGAGACGTCAGCATTCACTTGCAAAGTGCCTACCTGCTTTGAGAAGCACGATCTGATCGTTTTGACACAGCTCCATGAATCCGTCGATGCGTTTGGCAAACTCCACCACGTACTGGATAGCTTCTGTGATTTTGATGGCGCAGAGCTGCCACATCACCTCCCGCTGCTGTTGAAGAGGAAAATAGCAACATACGGGTCACAAGGTATCCTCGGACAAACCACTCGGCTGTCCCATTCTGTAAAGCCCTTCTTTGGAAGCAGATTCAAAAAAAGGCTAGCAGATTAAAAAAACCAAACAATCACCTTGTTGGTTGCGTTCTAAGCACCGCTCCGTGGCCTGTGTGCCGCCTGCTGTTCCTCTCTTACCTTGTGGGTGGGGGTGGCGCAGGCAGGGGAGGCTATGGACGTAAGGAGCAGAAAGCTCAGACGCCATGAGGGCAACACAGACCACCGCTTTAGCCCCGGGCCACAGGGTAGCCAAGTAGGATCTGCTTTCAAGCAATGATTTTTTGCCTGGGGACATTTAATAACACTTCACTCCCCTTTAAGTCAAGGGGAGTCGATACAATGTATCTTGTGCCTACTGTGAGCTCCATGCTTTATGACATCTTGTCTCAGAGCATCTTCGGAGGAACTCTTCGCTACTGTCCGGAAATGACATGAAAGCTCACGGGGTTCACAGCTAGGAGGTGGCGTAGGAGCCGGATTCCAGTCCCAGCGTCTCCGGCTCTGAAATCCCGCCCCTCGCCCCTCGCCGTTTCTCACTGCCCGTGTGCGGCCTCCTTGCGGCCGTGCCCGCGGGGCTGCCTGCCACCTCCAGGCAGGGAGTGACACCTCGCCGGTCCTCAGCCCGGGCTCTTAATTTCCCTTCGCTCATTTTCCAGCTGCGAGCGACCGGATCTGCCGCGTCACACAGCCGTCTCCCCAGCCTGGTGGGGGCCCCGAAACTGGGGGGCCAGGGGTCAGGGTGTGGTCCTGACGTTTCCACTCTCCAGCCATCCGGCAGGGATGCCAGTTTCCCCTTGTGTGATGTGAAAGAGAAGATTAACTGAGATAATCTCCACAGCGCGTTCCAAGCCTGTGTTTCTGAGATTACTGGAAAGAGCATTATACCCAAGGGCTAGGGAACCCTAAGTTCCCTGCCCGCAGTCTCCCCTCAGGTCGGGGTGCACTGGTCAGGGCGCTGTACAGCAGGAAAGCCAGATTCATAATGCCAGGGTCAGGTCAGGGTTACTGACGGTCACCGCTCCCAAACCTTGGTTTGGTGTGTGCTATAAACTCCTCCGTGAGAACCCCTGGAAGCACAAGCCTGAGATGATTTTACATCAACTTCCTGACCCTAAAAGGTTCTGTCGTGATGTGAGGACCGATCCCTATTCCTTTACGTTTTGGGGAGCGGCTCGATCTATTCCCGACTGAAAAACTGAAGGAGATACGTGCATACTTAGAACAGAACTTGTTATCTTGGAAATTTCGAACGCTGGCATCTCACTGAGATGGCAAAGCCCCAGGCACACGCTCAGCTCTGGAGGAAGGGAGGTTTTCAATCAGAGATCTGGTACCTGAGCCAAGACACTCACACTTTGGTCCCTGGGTGTTCCGGGTACGTTTCCCACACCAGCACCCTCCCCAGCGCGGCCTGAGGCTGCGCCAGCTGCTCAGTACCTTGTTCTGATAGTTCTCGATCTCTTCCTGCAGGAAGGTCTGCCACGTGATCTGCTGGAGCTCTTCCCTCAAGTACTGGCAGGTCTCCAGGTGTGACTTGGATATGTTCTGGGCAAGGTGCTCTGCGGGGGGAAGCGGGAGATCATGGAGGTGAAGAGCCACATCCTTCTTTGGGTATGTGGTGATTCCCCCACTGAGCGCTGGCTTGCGACAGCAACAGGTATAAGACAGTACGCTGCGTCAGTTCTGAGGACCTCTGCCCCCTACACGAGCCATCTGGACCTGTCCTGCGTTAGGGACGTGAGGACGGAGGACAGGACCTTGCAAAGCCATCCTTCCACGCCGAGGCTCGGTGACGCCAGAGACCCTGCTGACCTTGACCTCGCTTGGTGCTTCTCACTGATGTCTGGGAAGGAATACATCCTGACCTTGATAGCTACAGCAAATGACTGACACTTTCACGCTAGCCTGAAAGCCTCGTGAAAAACTAGAAAATGGTCTTAGTTTCTGGGGACAGCCATGCATTTCTTTTGTCCTGTCTGCAAACAGCAGGGCAGACACTGGTGAGGACCTGACACATGACCAGGTGTAGTGCAGCAAAGGGACAGACGCCCCACCCAGCCTGTTGGGCTCTCTATCGGAGCTGTGATTCCTGAGCTGTGTGATCTTAGGTATGTTGCTTACCCTCTCTCCGCCTGGGTTTCTTCATTTGTAAAAGAAAGAAGACAGTACTTGTTTCATAGGGCTGCTCTGGAAATTCAGTGAGCCACTCGCCTGGAAGGGTTGCACAGCACGTGCCGTCAGTACACGTGAGTGTGCGAGGCACGGGGATACTGGAAGAAATGCCGCAGACAACTGCTCTGGGAATTTATAATCTGCGCCACGCGTGGACACGGTGAAAACGAAGATTTAAGGTATTAGGCAGTAAGTATGAAGGAGGTTTTAAGAAGTAATAGACACTTCTGGGGATGGGGGAGATCACTGTAGATCAGTGGAAGTGGAAGAGGTGTCTCGGCAGACAGGGACATCTGTGCTGCACCTTGCAGGAAGGGCGGGCATAGGGGTGGCGTCGGTGGTGGTGGGAGGCGGACCGCTCCTTGCAGGGTGTGCTGGACGGAGGGGCACATGTGGTGTTTATGGGGCAGGCAGCTGTGACTGATGATAGTATCAAAGCAGAAATACAGCGGAGAGCCTGGCTCCTGAGTGTGAGGACTGGGTCTGGACCTGGTATGACAAAGAGAATCCCCAGGAAGGGCCGCCGCGTTGAAAACTGCACCCGAGACAGAGGATAAGCAGCTTTGTGCTCGGTGGGTGGGAGCACAGAGAGGGTGGGCAGCGGGTCGAGTGGGGCCGGCTGGCAATAACCGTCATGGAGGGAGGCAAAGACAAGAGAGGGCGCTGTTGCTGGGGAGGCTGAGGCAGGAGGATCGAAAGTTCAAGGCCATCCTGGGCTCTATGGTGAGACCCTGTCTCAAAATGTATTTATTTATTTATTTTTAGAAAGGGCTGGGGATGTTGCTTAGTGCCGTCTGGGTTCTGTCTCCAGCACCAAACACACGCACGGATGCACTTAACAGAATGACGCGAATCTGCACAGAAGAAACCGTACCGAAAACTGACCGCTCCCCAGGGACCCCGGGTGTGCACCAGGCAGGCTGAAGGCAGACTTGGCCAGGCTTGCGAGAGCGTCTATCTGTACATTTGTTACTGCTTTCCTCAGACAGAAGGAGCCTTGTTTGTGTGAAAACAGAGCGGGCTCACCTAAGTGGAGTCTGAAACTAGAATCTCCTTGGAGACACGGAGACAGAATCAATCCTTACAGCCCTATTTGGCAACACACAGACGCTGAAACAGCGCGCGGAGATGGCACAGAAAAGAAAACATCGACAAAAGACAAGAAGCCGCAGAGCAGAGAAAGCGAGAAAGTGAGAGCAGAAGAAGCCAGGGCGTTCTGTCTCTTAGAATCGGTGTTGCTCATGGACAGACAAGGAAACCGGAGTTAGAAACCAGAAAACTAGTGCAGAAGTAAGGCATGAACTAACTCCGGGAGAAAGCTCTCGCTGCAGAAGACAGTCTCTGCAATGTAGATCCAGTTTTTTTTTTGCGGGGGAGGCGGTGTCTTTTTGAGACAGGGTCTGTAGCTCAGTCTGGCCTCCAAAGTGCAGCGATCCTCCTGCCTCGGCCTCCTGAGTGCTGGGATCACAGGCGTGTACCACCATGCCCGGCTCTTGTAAACCCATTTTCGAAGCTAAGGACAAAGTGAGGCCGACCATTCACAGGAAGAGGGCGCTGCTGCACAGGAGGCTTTTGGGTCTGCTGCCCTCCCAGCCAGTATCCTCAGCATCTTGTTTCACTTTATCCTAAAAAATGTTACCAGGGCTGGGGGCTGGGGGCTGGGGGCTGGAGCCTGGAGGCTGGGGGCGTACCTCAGTGGTACAGCGTTTTCCTGGAAGCTCAAGGCCCCGGGTTCGATCCCGGGAACTAGGGGCAAAGACGCTGTCGCCCCTCACCCCTGCCTAATTGCACCCAGGTTTTAGAACAGCCAATAAGGAGCGAGACAGCGGACGGTACGATGCGCAGATGCGCCAGTAGAGGGCAGTGGCTGCGTTCGCATGGACTGCTCTCCGCCTTTGACTGCAGTTCCAATTAGATTGGATTTGAGACGCTCTGCAACTTTCACATCTCCATTTCATCAAAGGAGAATACGGGGCATAAAAGTTAAGAAGTGGGTGTGGCCTTTCCTAGAAACTTCGGGGGAACAGTGCCATAGCTGGCCACCACAGAGGCCGGCTTTCTGCTTGGACCTGTGCAGATGTCTATCTCATTGTGTGTATGTGTGTGTGTGTGTGCGTGTGTGTGCGTGTGTGTGTGTGTGTGTGCGCGCGTGTGTGTGCAGGGGGCGGGCAATCTCCTTCCCTGCTCCACCAGGACAGCTTCCCCAGCACAGCTGCTATCTCGATAGTCAGATGGCAAATCCTGGCCTCTGAGTTCCACGCTTTCACAGTGGAAGGAGCTTTGCTTTGCCTGTACCTTAGGAATACCACACTCTCCCCCTCACCTAACCCTCAGACTCCGGGGCAACGGTCCTGGTACTATCTCCAGTTCACATCTGAGGAGACCGAGCCACGGAGAGGTTAGGCGACTTCACCAGGGTGTCCCGACCAGCAAGCGGCACTCGGTGTGAACGGAGCCTGGCTTCCATGTGGGTGCGCAACTTCCACGGGGCAGCACAGCTCACAGCAGGAGCCAAGCCGGCTCCCCGTCCCAGGCTTTGCCCAGCGTATCAGCACTAACTAACAGTTACAAACACGATTAGCACATTAGAAAGAAAGGACCTCGTCGTTTATCTGGAATATATAATTCAGGCTGTAATTGCACTTCAAGGGCAAAATTTCCTACCCGAGGATGGAGGCATGCTCCAAAGGGAAGCGCGAGGCTGCAAATGCTATTCCTGAAAACCAGAGCTGGACGGAGGCTCTGGGAGTCCACACTTTCCCACTGTACAGTCGCTTTCCTTTGTACCAACTCTGGTGACAAAGTTTAGCCTACAGGGAGCTGAGAGTCTTAGAAGAAGGCAGCAGAACTCAAACTGCAAGGAAGTACCAAAAGATGTTAGGTAGCCCAAAAATTTTAGGAGCGGGGTGCAGCTCCTCTGGGGCCGCTTTTGGATCCCTGGACTATTCTGCACATGTAAACGAGACAGAACGTTAGAAACCCATTTTATGCTTTTCTGAAAAGTTCTGGTTTTCCAGCTTTGTGTGTTTTGTTTTGTGTTTTGGAACCAGGGTCTCACTCGTGTGCCGCTCCGCGCCCTGCTTCCTCCTCGTTTTGTTTTGAGTTTGGGGTTATTTGCAGTTACGAGTTAATTCATTGTGGAAAAGGCTCCAACGCGTTTGAAAAATTCCTAATTTAAAAGCGTACAAAGCATGAGGGGCTGCCGGCAGCACTGCAGATGCCCGTTGTGGGAGAGGACACCGTGTGTCTGGGGGGCTGTGGGGAGGCGCCGAGCCATCTCTGGCCCCCGCCCGGCATTCGTGCGGCTTTAGCCAAAGTGCCAAGTTCAAAGGCGGCACGTCGGCTCAGCCCTGCGGATTTATCTCGGGGCTGAACATCTGACAAGCAAACAGGACAGACTCACTAGTATTTATGGTAAGGTGGAAGCCAGCCTAAAGTGAGTCAGGTCATTTTCCACGGGATCGTGTCAACGCTCAGTCAAATCCTTATTCATTTCTGAAAATGTTTCTTTGATTACCGGTCTGCTTAAGGCTCAGTCCACCAAGATTTCGTGACAAAAATGGACGGTTTTGTTCTAGTTCAAGAAAAAAAAAAAAAATCAAACCTACCTCTGCTCAGCTTGGCTTCTAGTTCAGAGGTTTCTCTGTTAATCAAAAGAGCGGCAATGCACCTTTAATGCTGCTCAGTGGTTAAAGCCCAGGCTTGAAACGCCTGCGCTTGAGGATTTAAATTTAGACCCATAAAGAGATGCTTGTGTCCCAACTGTAAAGAACATTCAATTTGTTCTATTTGGAGACAGATTTTACTGGAAATATAAATTTTCACTTAAAAGGTGTTTTATGGGGTACAGCACTGGAGAAGCCATCCAGAGAACACAGCCATTATTCCTGTGAACCGAGGGTCTCAGTGCCCGAGTCAGAACCTGCTGGTTCTTTCCACCCGAGGTCCTCATCCTCTCCCCGTATTAACTTGGTCACCTCCACTGCCTCTAACTGAAATATCCCCAAGGATCATAACCTCGCGTGAGGGTCGCCAGGAGGAGCGCGTCCAACTGTCCTACCGCAAAGGTTCTTATCCGGAGTTTTTCTAATAATAGTGCTATATTTAAAAATCAATTAAATATAGCAGAGCATGTTAACATACCTTCCCCGAAGTGGAAAGTTTTCCACTGTCTGTGTTATCAATATTTCTAGGTCACAGATCCCCAGAAGCAGTCACGTCCCAGCATTAAGGAAATGACAGAAATTATAGGCCTTTTTTTGGCATGGGGGGCGGTTATAGTAGTCCTTATAGGAAATCTGTCAATTTTGTCATTAGTATTCATCCTGAAAACATTCTGGCAAACGAAGAAGCCTGATGCCCTTTAATATTTATCATACACATCAAGGTTACAACGCTTAGGTGCCTTAGGTTGGGGAAAAAAATCTGTCTTTTCAGTCCAAGTGCGGGAGAGAGGGTGGTGTAGGAAAGATCGGCCCGGTACGAAGTCACATCAAGAGAACTATGTTCTGATCTTTAGCTGTGCAGTGGGGTGACCGTGGCTAACAGTCTGGTATTAACTTTATTTAAAAATCACGAGCGGGTGTAATCCCAGCACTCGGGAGGCTGAGGCAGGAGGATTGTTGC